CTGCTGGCAGGAGTGTAGATTGGTGCAACCACTGTGGAAATCAGTATGGAGATACCTCAAAGAACTAGGACTAGAAGTCCCATTTGACCTAGCTATTCCCCTGCTGGGTATCTTCCCCAAAGAATTAAAAGAATCCTACCACAGTGATATATGTGAACCCATGTTCATAGCAGTACAATTTTTAATAGCTAAAACTTGGAAGCAACCCAATTGCCCATCAACTGAAAACTGGATAAAGAAAATGTGTGTGTGTGTGTGTTTTTTAATGGAGTATTATTCAGCCATAAAAAAGAGAAACTAGAGACATTTATAGCTAAATGGATGGACATTGAGGCAATACTCTGAAGTGAAATAAAATAAATAGGACACGTGTAAATACCAAGTAGTTTCACTAGTCTGAAAAACTAAAAGTGTAAATAAGGACTAAAAGGTATAATAGATAATGTGAAATAGTAAGAAAAGGTGAAAGGGGGAAGGGGAAATGGGAGGGGTAGGGGAAAAGGAAGAAAGGAATGTAATTAATATGAGAAAATGAAAAAATGGAAACAAAGTCTTAGTAGATAGAGAGGGGTGGAGGGGTTGAAGGGAGGACAGGGGAAGGGGGAAAATAAGAACCAAGATGGATTATGTAAAGGTGCAAATGTCCAATAATGAATGTCATTATATTGTATACCTTAAATGCACCAATAAAATTAATTTTAAAAAGACTATAAAGCACTGCTTTCCAAAAGTTACTTGAATTTCTTAGAATAAAAGAATAAAAAGGCTTTTGGAGTTATTCTATGCTTAATTCTTGCATGGCATGCTAAGATTATGATTTATGTTGAAGAATACTTTCCTATGTCCCCTCTATTTATTCATTTCTTCTTTGGTTTCTTATATTCATGTTTCAGTCTTTCTCTTTGGTCAAACTTAGCACAGGTGGCTTCTCTTTGGGTATTTCATTGTATACTTGAAAACTCTTAAAATCTCCTTAGAACTTGACCTGAAGAGCTGAATGAAACAGCTCTCCAGCTTTTTACTGTATAAAAAGCTCAACAAGCTGCAGGTATGAATACAGGGAGAGAAAAAGCTTAGGCTGTGGGCAGCACCAAGTTCAGTGTCTCTATATTTGCCGAGCCCACAGAACCAGAGATCCATGCTTTATATCTGGCTTCCACTGCAGGCAAAACCGTTGCTTGTGTCAAGATGAATTGCTTGTCAGGCGCAATGGGAGAGTGTTCTGTCTCATGCAGTTGAAGGTTCACCATCTTTGGGACTCTGAATTCTCTCTATTCATTAACAGCCCTGATATTGAGGGTTACCAGTGCCAGAAGAAATATTCCAAAAGGTTACTGAGTCTGTGCCTCTTCAGGCTGGGAGTATTCTTCTGGTCTCTGCTCCCTCTCCAAATAGGGCATGAGGGCATCTCAGTTCTATGTAGAGAAGAACTAACTCTTCTCTCACAACCCACAGACACCCTGTTTACACCTCCAACCCTTATACCTTCAGATGAAGATAAGTCAGATGTCTTTATTAAGAAATCTGAGCAACTACTATTAATTCTAGAGCTTTAGCTAAGTACTATTTACTGAATGGTTGGATAAAAAGTGCTTCATTTATTTTGAATTATTTGTTGCACAGGTCTGAAAAATTACATTTTCTTAAAGCCCTTCTGCTGGCTGGTTACCTAAGAAGGAAGGGGATGTGATTCGTTGCTTATTAAGGGTTAATCCCTTTTCATCAGACTTGTCTCTGATTCTGAAGCAGGCTTGCTTGACTTAGTCATCCTCATCTGTGTCTCTACAGTTGGGACCTGCTACTGGAGACAGAGTTGAGCTTGACTAAAATTTGACACTTCCAGCACATCACTTAGATGCTATGATCCAAAGAGGATGGGGATAATATTACCTTGCTGCCTGCAGCACAGGATTTTCAAAATGTTTTTAAGCAATGAATGAGATGCTATGTGGAAAAACAATATGCTGGGAACTGTAAATCAGCCTGTAACAGCAAAGTCATGTTATTTTTTTCCTCCCTGAAGTGCAGAAGAGTGGAAGTTTCCTTCTCACAGGTTTCACCTCTTTGAATAAGAAGATAACTTTTTGCTAAAAGTGAATTAAATAGGCAGTCTGTTCCATTCTGCCTATTTATCATTCATTCATTCAGCACAATATTCCACAAGGCCAGCCCTTGTATATGAGTAGTGGAGACCAATAATATCCAAATACAAAGGCAGGACTATTTTAATAAATGATGAAAATTATTTAGAAAAATGGAAAAAAGGACAGAAAGGATCTGCTGGAAGAGGTGTAATAGTTGCAATTTTAGAAATGTGGACCGGAATGATCCATTTTTTACCTATTCAGGAGAATTAAAATGTAATTAATTAATAAAGTGCTTGGCAATGGCATAATGCTTGAAATTTTCAAAACAGAATTTTATGTACCTTTTTCTTTTAAAATTTTATTATAGCTATTTGAGACATACAGCTTTGATATAACCTAGTTTAAGAGCTAGCTGCCACAAGGAATCTGGGACCCAATTGGATAAAATTCCAAATTGGCACGTGTACTTACCCATTTCTTGTCTGGTGCTGGCTACACCTGTGCCATATGTTTCTAAAACCTCTTTTACTGTCCTCATAGACTCATCATACTTGTCTGCAAGTCCAAGGAAGTTATAGGAGCCTATGTTGATGACATCTTTGATGATATTTCCAGTAAACCTGCAGGGAGACACATAAGCACAAAGGGCAATCTATTTCATATCATCCTGGTGTCAAGAAGACCTCAGTCAGGCCCACATCATAATTTTCTTTTTCATTTTTAACTTGCTCTGTTGTCAGTATATAATGGTTTGTTCTTAGAGGGAAGTGACTCCACAATGAATGGGGCAGAGCCCTGGAGAAAGGTATCCTGAACTGTAGTGCTTGCCTGAGCCCTGATGCTCCTCAGGTAATTGCTTTCATGACACCCATGCCCTGATATAAAGTCCAGTAACAGACAAGAGCTATAGTCATCACTGCCTCCATTGGGAGAAGTAGAAGGGGACAACTGGACAATTCTTCAAGGTTGGCTCTGTGTGTATTGCACCTCTGAAACAGGTCTCACCTTAATTAGGACATATACAAGCCACCCTGGCAAATTAGTGACTGTGACTTCCTTTACTGGCATGGTGAGGACCAGCTGGTTCTGTGCTCAGCTCTTTCAGATTTGTAATCTGGTGCCCCCTGCCAGCCAGCATTTCTATGAAAGGACTTTTTGCCACCCAGCCCCTCCAGGTGGCTCCCTCACCTGAACGTCCAGTTATAGTCATCTGACACCCTTTCCATCACATCGAAAAGAGGCCCTGGGGCACTGCAGATGGATCGGCTCCAGTTGTCTCTGATTCTCATGTAAAGGTTCCGCTTATAAAAATTCTCAAAGTCTTGGTACAGTGGTACAAAATGCTATAATAACAGAATAACAGAGGGAAAAGGTAAAAGATAAGCTTTCTTTTGCAGTTGAAGGCTGGGGGAAGACATGGAAGAGACCTGCAAATAATCCATCTATAGATATTTTTTGATCAAAAGTCGTGGGTGAGTGAACAATGGGGCCCATGAACAAACTTGTGAGAGTCCATCCTTAAGGAGCCCACCCTCACTTGGTGCAGTGGCCCATACTTGTAATCCCAGCACTCTGGGAGGCTGAGATGGGAAGTTCACCAGTTTGAGCTCAGGGAGGGCAAATTAGGGAGACCTTGTCTCAAAAGAAAAAACAGAAAAAAGATTGGGGGTGTGGCTCAGTGGGAAGGCCCTGGGCTCAAAGCCCACAGTACTGAACAAAAAAACCCAAACAACAATAACAAACATGTGGTGCTAATAAAGAAGAGTAACAGAGGCAATAGTACAATACAAGGCAACCTAGAAAAGCAGCAGAAACACAAGAAGTCCCTGAAGTGTTCCCAAGAAGGGAACCCGCCAACTCTAGGGCAGCAATAGATGTTGATGTCCAAAACAGTTTATTTGCAAAAAGAGAAACAAATGGTTCAGATGACAATTTGATCTTAACTTTTTGAGCATAAATAACCTCATTCATTGTGTTTTTAGAAGTAGGAATGGATTTGAACTGTTGGGCATGTTAGCAAAACTGCTACTGGCAGGTGCCTGGATGTCACATGGTTGAGGGCCTGATACTGAGCTGACAAGCTGGTGAAGGCACCAGACTTCTCTTGTGGTGGAGGTGACAACACTATGTTCTTGTATACAGTGTAATCCATTACAGGTGCAAGGTGGGGGGTACCTGCCATCCAGCTGAGGGTCCTAGTAAAACATGGCTCATTATATCATTTGACTCCTAATAGCTAACACTAAGGTGGCCATTGGAGAAGTGATTTTCTGTAGGCAAAAATGTTCATAACCATATACTAGGGACTATCTATTACATGTGAATTTGCAACTCTGCTGGTTATATTTGAAAAGCTCATACCAAATGCATTTTCTCTAAATATCTGTGAGATAGGTTTTATTATTATTTAAAGCTACAAGTTTATGATAATCAATGGTATGATACTTTCATATTCTTGCATGGAAAAACATTTTGAGACATTTTATCTAATTTTGGATAATTCATTTCCAATTTATTTTTTTGATTCAGTAACTATGTAAGCCTTTTTACTACTTTGTGGGTTGTGGATTATTCTGTTTTCAAATGTTAATTGTGTTCTTTTATTTATTTAAAGCCTTATTTGAAATGAAATAATATACATATAGCCTATCAAGATTAAACAAAAGTAGGTCATTAGGTTTTTAGGTGGAATTATGATTCTGTTTTCTAAGAGGAGTCTTACTCAAAGTAACGGTTGGAGAGAAGGCAAAAAGAACCCAAACATTCTGTTTTTAAAAATTAAAATCAATTTCATATTTTTAACAAGATGTACAAAGGACAGAGGGGATATCAATCACAGAGCTCAAATATGTGTTCAACACATGAGGAAAAGCAGGCCCAAGGAGGTGAACGACTTGAGTTCTGGTCAGCTTCTGACTCCATCCTCTCTCTCAGTGACTTCTGGGTGATCTTAGGTTTATGTAGCTTCCCTATAAAGCATTAGTGATGACACGAATCCTGGCTTACAATACAGAAAGCTGTAACTAAAAGGTTGCCAGACTATAGGAGGAGTGTCTAGTAATTATAAGCAACTTGGCACTGAGTTGAGAAAATGTGTGTGGCTTCCTCATCTGGTCCTGAAGATGCGTCATCATGGCCACTGGTGAAAGGGTGGGAAAATATTTCTTCTTGCCTAAACTTTCTGCCTCCTGACTCAGAGATCCTGACTGGGTACCTACTGAGGAACTGGGAAGTTATTTATTTATTGAGATAAATATTGAAATTACAATGATTCCTACCTAGTCTGTGAATTCAGGAAATGATCTTCATATTCAGTAGCAATGTTGTGAATTAGGTAGTTACAAATACCTTGCAAAAAAGGAAGAGCCAGGTTTTTTTTTAACCACACAGAGGTATGACTTTTGCGTGATATAAATTCTAACCCAGGTCTGATATGCAAGTTTGGTAGCCTAAATATTTCACAACTGAGCTTGAAAACCCTTACAACTGAAGTTCTAGTCTGGGAAGGTACTAACTTGCTTTTGGGCATGGTCCTCTTCTCCACGTACATGTGGCTTCCTTCTTCTTTGTGGGTGTGTTTTCACTCCACCCCATTCCTTTGAGCAGCAGAGTGCTTTCTTCAGGAGTAGCCAACACCTCCTAAAGGTCAATGTCCTCCAGTCTCAGACAAGCTTCCCACAGGAATTTAACTATACTGTAGACTGAAGCTAGACTTGATATTTTAAAGACATACACATTGCAATAGGGCAGGTTTTTTTCTATCTGTATACTTAATTTGTTACTTGGCTTCCTCATTATTTTTTTTTCCTGATACAAGTGGCTAAATATGACATAGAAGTCCATGCCATTAAGACACAATCATTTCTGGGGATAGAAATGATAATTTATAATTGTCTAAGTATTATAGATATTTCTTTATAACATTTGTAGCTAAGTTAAAAACTTCACTATACAAATTGGGGACTATAACCAATTCCATGCTACAGAGCTTACTGTTTATTAGGAAATGAAAAGAAAAATATCCATGGCCAGTGGTAAAAAGTATTGCCAGATTTGGAAGCATTACCCTACTTATTTGATTTAACTACATGCCTGTTCAATAGCAAATAGAAGCATAGCTTTATACATAGAGAAAATGGCATCATTATCACACACCAGTTATTCATGTGTGTCTAAATGGACACTTCTATTCTCACCAGATATTTCATTTGATATTATTTCTTTTTAGAAAATAGTTGTTTCTTTTACCATGCAGCTTAGAATAATAAAATAGCCTTGTGCTTTTCTTTTTGTTCATAAGGGTGACTATATTTAAGATAGTTCTTTGAAGTAGGAGAAACTCAAAGGAAGGGTGGCTAAATTTAATTTTTAAGAGATTAGACAGTGTAACAAGACAGATTTTAGATGTTCTGCAAAGGCTTATTTGTTAAAGGCTTGGTCCCACCCTGCAAGGCTTTTGAGAGATTGCAGACCCTTCAGGAGGTGGGGCCTGGTGGAAGGAAGTAGGTCACTGGGGGTGCATCCTTGAAGGGGATATTGAGGCCCTATTCCCTTGCTCACTCTCTCTCCCCAGCCCCATAAAGTGAGAAGTACATGGCAGCTTTGCTCTGTCATGCACTTCTTGCCATGCTGTTCTGTCTCACTATAGGCCCAAGGTGATGGGGCCAAGTAACCATGGACTGAAACCTTTGAAACTGTGAGCCAAAAAACCTTTTATTTATTGAAGTTATTTTTTATCAGGTATTTTGTCACAGTAAAGAAAACCTGACTAAAACAGATGAGGATTGAATAAAGGCACTAGACTTGGTACTTGTGTATTCTACCACTCATTTGAAAGTCACATAAAATAACACAAAATAGACATTTAGAAAACAAAATGAAGTCATAGATGCTTAGAAAGATAACCCAGAGGGTCATCAATAAATCGTACTAATTGAAAAATCACAAAAGACACAACATGAATAAGATCTAATGAATAAGAGATAAAACTAGAGGAAAATATAGTCTAAAAAGTTGCAGCAAATTCTGGAGCAGATAAAAATTAACTGTAGGGTAGCTTCTAGTTGAGAGTAAAGAACCATAGCAAGTTGATACTCAGGGTGACTAACTGGGAAGTTAGATCCCTTTATCCTCCTCCTATTTGGCTAATAAGTAAGAAGCAGTAATGGTACCCACAGGATTAAGCTTAGTGGTGGGCAGCAGCAACTGAAAGGAAGAGCAATAGCAATGCCCCAGTGCAGAGAGCTGGGAGCCCCCAAAGAAAGATGACAAGCAGTCATGGATTCAATAACCCATAGGCTTCTCTTGATAATTGTGGAGATAATAATAATTGTGGATTTTTCAAAATACACTACAAACCTAGTAATCAAAGCAACACATGGGCAGCAAAACAGACACATGGGCCAATGGAATAGAATAGAGAACTCAGAAGTAAGTCTGTCCATTTACAAACATTTGCTCTTTGCCACAGGTGCCAAGAACACACAATGGGGAAAGAGCAAACTCTTCAGTATATAGTGCTGGGAAGACTAGACACTTACATGAGGAAGAGTCAAATTAGACCCTTATCTCTTCCCTTATACAAAAATCAAATCAAAATGGATTAAATACTTAAGTGTGGGCAGGTGTGGTAGTGCACACCTGTAATCCTAGCACTCTGGGAAGCAGAGGCAGGATGATTCCAAGTTTGAGCCTAGTCTGGACAACTTATTGACTTAGTGGGTCCATATCTTAAAAAAATTTTTTCAAAGATGTGGGATATAGCTTGGTGTGAAGGCCCTCTATTCAATTCCCAGTACTATAAACAAACAAACAAACAAACAAAAATAAAAGGACTTAAACATAAGTACCAAAACCATAAAAATAATGAAAGTAAAAGGTTTTTGGCTTGGTGTAGCAATGATTTTTTCTTTTGGATAAGACCCCAAAATCGCAGGCAGCAAAACAATAAATAGACAAATGAGGTTATGGCAAACTAAAAAGCTTGCATACAGCAAAGAAAATAACCAAAGAGTGAAGAGACAACCTATAGAATATGAAAATATTTTCAAATCATATTTATGATAAAGGATTATTTTCAGAAATACATCAGGAACTCAACTCAACAGTAAGATAACCAAATGAAAAATATCAACCCAACTAAAAATATAACCTTATTAAAAATAACATGACTAAAACCGGGTAGATAACCCAAACATATTTCTTAAAAAGACACACAAGTGACCAACAGGTTTATGAAATGTATTCATCATGACAAATCATCAGGAAAAGGCAAATCATAACTACAATGAGATATAGCCTCAGACTTGTTAGAATGACTATAGCAAAAGAAATAGTAGATAAC